TCAGTAGCCAGATCACTGCTTCAGGCTGAAAGCCCCACTGACAGCCACGCAGGCTGGAAAATGGACTCTGCACCCATCAGCCACAGAACTGACTCACTCAGAGATGCGTCACAAGGCTTTATAAACGGATGACTGAGGGCAGCCGCCAGTGACCAGGGTTGGCCATCCCCCATATACAAGGTGCATCTTAACGCCTCTGAGCCTGACTGCACGTACGAACCAACTCTAAGTGCACATTTCTTCCAACTTGTCCCTGCCAAGGGAGCATGAACACGCACTGCTGGCTGCTCAGAGACGTTAATGCCTCTTCCTCCCTCCCGCTGTGCACCCCAGGTTGGCTCTGCTGGAGGGGGAGCCGACGCTGAGCGTCCTGCAGTCCTGTCGGTGCTGCGCCCCTGTGGAAGGCAGCAGGACCCCGCTGGAGCTGCAGTGCCTGGAGGGGGGCACAGCGCCGCTGTCCGTGCCCGTGCCGAGGGCGTGCGCCTGCACCGAGCACACCTGCACCTGAAGCCAGCCGCTCAGCAGCGCCCTCTCCTGGAGCACGCGGGGCTCGGCTTCCGTACCTGCAGGGCCCCAGGGGGTCACGCACCCCCCCCTCTACCCCCAGGGCCCAGACCGCCGACTTTGAAGGACAGCTCTACAGTGGCCACATTCCTGCGCGTTGCTTGAAGAACAGAGGGAACGCTTGTTTCCATACCAGTGACCTCGGAGAGCACCATGATCACAACCAGGAGAACATGGGGAAAATATCTGGAGCACAATGTATCGGTAGTGTGGCTTTAGAAAAATAACCAAGTAGCTGCCACTTGTGGGATCTAGTGCACAACTGACTGGGTAGCTTGTTCCGCATTTCCACTACCACTTCCTGGAAAGAACCATGCAGATGTGCTGCTGCCTGTTCTCAGTTTTAAATGCAGTTCCACCGTTTCCATGTGCCCTCTGCTGGACGCAACGTGGAAGTGCACTTAAAACAACTAGGGTGCTCTCCGGAGTTTTTCAGGGGTGTGAAATGAAAGATGGCTTCAGCACGATCCGGTTCCAGGAACCACAGCAGTTGTCCTCTAAGGGGCTCCGGCCTGGGACTCCAAGCCCGAGGCTCGGAGGCACTGCAGCAGCCCGTGCCATACCCTGCGGGCAGAATCGCGCTTCTTAAAATCAAAACCACTGTAACCAATTAGTTCAGCAGCAAGCTAATGAAAATTGCAAAGATTCTGGGGCATTTCTGATTTACTTGGCCTAATTGCTTATTACACAACGTAACAAAAATATAGCTTCCACACTAATTTAAAACAATCACAGGAGATGAGCGATCTGAAACTGTGTGTGAAATGAGTTGCAGAAATAAGAGCACGTAATTGTAATGAACCACACTCACTCAGAACTGCTTAAATACAATAACCTGCATATCGGTTGTATAATTAAATCTTTACACTGAAGTAAACCCGAGGTGGCTGCATCTCATTATGAGCATGAGGAGTTTATTGCTGAACAATTACGAACTTTTAAACCAGCAGCCAACAGTGTCTTCTCTTTCAAGACCCCAACAGTGTCCCCCCTCCCCCCCAGTGTTGCATAAAACATCCAAGACTGCCGCTGAAGAAGAAGGCCACCCCAAACTCCCTCCTACTGCCCGGTCACTCAAACACACGTGTGCGTCTGCTCTGCCCCTGCAGTATGGAGCAGGTCACCACAGAGGGAGTGCGTGCCGTCCCTGTGGCTCCTTGGCTCCTCCCTGTGAGCAGAGCCTGAAGCCGGGGGCATGCTGGGAAAAAGAGACCAGGAGGCGGGGTAAAAGTGATAAACTCTCAGATTTAATTGGCAGCACCTGGGGCATGAGACAAAGCAGAAGACAAGGCATTTTAATATATATCAAAAAGGATAAAAATATATATTGAGCTAAAGGCACACTTAGGCAAGGCAGTGACATTGCTGTTCGGTAAGGCCAAGCAACAGCAGGGCTCATTAACCCACGAACTGCCACTGCTGCGGGTCGTTAACCAGCTCTCCCAGTCCTGGGGCTACGATTATGCTATACTGAGCGAGGGTTTTTCTCATGTGCCTCCAGTTCAATTTTCACACTCTCGCCTACAAGTAAATGATACATGAAGCTGCTTCTGGGAAATGTTTCAGTACTCAGTACAGTACCTGACCTTATCCAGATTAACACGACTGTGTCCCTTCCCCCAGGAAAGTCCTGAGGCTGAACAGCCAGGGTCTGTCTCTCTACAGTGGCCAATTTCCATGATTTACAAGAAAAAAGTTCCCCCTCCTCCAGGACAAAACCTAAGACTACCCTTTTCATGATTAACTGTTTGGAGAACAAAGACATGCTGTAGTTTAACCCCCTCAGAAAACTTTCTCAGCATTTAGTTTCAAAGAAGCCAATTCTAACATCTAAACGCTGAAAAAAAGAGAATCTCTCAGACTAGTCCTTTCTCCGTTACCCACCCTCAAAGCCCTGATGTCTTCAGACTTGTTTTTACACACATTTGTCACGACGAGACAAATCCGACCAGAGTCTTAACAGATCAGAAGCTGCAGCAGTTGAAATGTCGCTTCATTTGTCGTTTTCACAGTGAGGCACTGGTCAGCACAGAGTAAGTCCAGTCACGCTGCCCGAGTGCTGCTCTGCACTATCGTGTCCGGGCTGCACACCAGGGTCCCGCAGCTCAGAGCTCAGAGGATCGGCCTAAACCGACGCTCTCCGAGCTTCGAGGGAGAGACGCCGGGGAGGCCTCGGGCCAGAGTTCAGTTCCCGAGAGGCTGGCGGGCCGACGCCTGGGCGTTTCTTCAAGGCACGTGGGTCAGTGTGGTCCCTGCGACAGGGTGGGGGGGGCTCGTCCTGCCCGCACAGCCGTTCCTCCTACAGGACTCCAGCACCCCCAGGCAGGAGAGCCGCGCAAGGCCACTGGCAATCGCGAGTTCGCCACGAGCCCCACTGTCGAAACTGTCGGTTTCAGGCTCGTGGTCATATGCAAAAGCCAAAAAGGAGCAGAATGGTAAATTAGTAAAGCTAAGTGCCAGAAGATATTTTATATATTTATATATGTAAAAAAAAATAACAAAAATTTACACTGTACATTGAAGCATTTCAATTTTCAATGGAAACAGAAGAGGAAGAGGAGGGGGACTGGGCGGACAGAGCTGAAGATTTCAATCACAGGTGTACGGGCTGACTTTTATTAATGGGGCAAGGCCCTCTGGTGTTACTGGGAGCTGAAGGGTACTGCAGAGGCTCTCCGTAGGCTGTGGCATGTGGGGCTGTTTAAAACTGATCAGAAAGCAGTTCACAAAGCCTCTGTGACACGGTGTCCCTGCTCGTTCTTAACGTCAGGCGGTACATCTGCGGAGAGAGCAGAAAAACCCACATCACACGCCTGCGCGTCTTCGCTCCGCGTTAAAACACGCCGCGGGGCTTCGGCCTCAAAGGCCACTTCCACAGTGGCCACACTGCAGCACACAACGACAAACAATCCTGCAACAACAAAAAAAAACGAGCGACAAAACTCCTGCCTGGACCCGGAGGCAGCGACCGCCGCGATACCGCGCACCGCAGACTCACCTGCGCCTGCGTGTTGGGCTCCAGTCTCAGCAGGCAGCCCACCTGAGTGGTCTTGGTGTGGATGACTCCAGCTCCCACAAAGTTGGAGGGGTTGGGGTCCACGCGGTCAAGCAGCGCCACTCCAAACCCAATGATCTGTCACGGCACAGAGACAAGTCACTGCCGCAGCCCGGGCGGCGCGAGCCAAGAGCAGGATCACACAGACAGCAGGGGCTCCTGTGAGCACATCGACAGAGAACCAGCCAGGGCAGGAGGAACCGCGGATGTTAGGACTTCACCACACGAGCTAGATGGGCCGAACAGCCACCTCTTAATTTAACATTTTCAATGTTCTTCTGCTCCCCATCAAGTCCGATTGTCAAGGGCAGCAAAATGGCAACGGGCTCAGAACCGCAGCAGTCTGAGGTTAAGGAGGCATAACAGAGCGCCAGACCCTGCACTTGCACCGACACCAGAGCGATGCTCTCCTAGTGTCTCAACTTGGTGGGCGGGGAAAATAGAAATCGCTGTAATAGCTGCTAAGCTTTTGCACGGGTTCGGGGAAAGTTCAAAACTCTCCTTGCAGGTTTCCTCCCACTCTTGTCCGGACTTTACCTTTGCTTTAGTGACCTCAGTGTCCATGGAATGCTTTGCTTTAAAAATCTTCTGCACCTCCTGCTGTGGGCTGCCAGAGAGAGAGAGAGAGAGAGGGGGTGGTCAGTGCAGAAGCACACAGCCCAGCAGCAGACAGGACAGAGGTACATGCCCCCAGCCCACACTAGCCGCCCTGCTCCTCGCTAAGAGGTGCTCACACAGCGCCCTGGAGCACCGAAGGCTTCAAGAACACGACAAACGCGCAGCGCAGCCCGTTAACAGCTTAGAGAACAGGCCTGTGTGCAGCACCACTTCCACTGCGGCCTGAAAGAGCCCAGCTCACACAGAACAGCCCCCAGTTACGGGCTGAACCCCTGCTGATCACTGCCCGACTCGACAACACTACAGCGGGGTGCAGGGTGCAGGGCACGAGCACACAGGGGGCACCCCCGGGCCCCGAGCCCGACTCTCTTCCCCAGGGCAGCCTCTTACGCGCTCAGCTGCTTCCAGCGCTGGAAGAAATCCTGAGATGTCATCTCTGTGGGCTGGAAGAACTTGTTGAGAGTGATGGGCAGCTTGACAGCGATGTTCTGAAGGGTCCCACCGTATCTGGGAAGAAGGACACAAGCCGGTTGGAAACACGAGCGTCCCGGGGTGGGGGTGGTGGGGGAGCCCACAGGCATCTTGTTCCTTCTAAACTTCCCAAATAATTCCAGCCTCCTGCTCTTCGCATTAATGATCTTAAAGGAGAAACTGCAACAACACTGGTCAATAAACTAGTTTGTCAAGCCCAGGGTACACAGAAACACAGGAGGTTTTAAATCACAGCTCTCACAGGGTGTGACAGCAGGCTGCAGTAGTGCCAGGGCTAAACGCCGGCTTCGCAGGCTGGGGCAGAGCACACAAAATCAACGAGCACGGGTACCAGCGAGGAGGAGGCCGGTCGGCCTGCACAGCCCTTCCCCAGACTCTCAACACACGGGCTGCACTCCGCACGTAAATAACTTCCTCCTCCAGGCTGATGCCCTTGTTTTCAAAAAGCAAAACGTTTCCCTGGAGTGTCGTGGAGTACTATATAAGACACAGGCGATCAGAAGACTTGGCACCCCTGTGCATCGCGGTGGCACCTGTAAGCCCTCCTGTGCCACCAGGAGAGGGGTCGCCGGAGCAGCCGGCCTCACCTGAACTGGATGTTGAGGACGGGAGCCTCCATGAAGTCGGACACGCACTCGATATTGAGGATCTGCTGCACCTGGGCGCCTCCGTCCACGGTGGGGTCCACCGGCTTCGTGTGGACGTTGAGCTGTGGGACCCGGTCAAGGAGAAACCCGACACCTTTAGCGCCTGGCGCCCCCTGCTGCGGGCGAGGGCGGGCACCCGGGCCTCGTTTCCCAGTTACCTGCCAGAGGTTACAGGCCTCTTTCTCCGAGACCTGATCCCATCACATCCGGGCGCGGATGAACGGCCATTCCCCGCTCCAGACTTTCTCATGATCTCATCTGTGCCTCAGTATCCGCTACCGGTCCATGTAGCCACCCTCATCCTTCTTCTGGAGTGAGGGGGTTTAGTCACCAGTCGGTCCTGACTTCTCTACATGGATATTTCATGGATCTCACGGGTATACATGGCCCAATTATCTCTGGCACAGCAGAAAAGTACGATATATATTTGTCATTCACACCAGCAGGAAGGGTCTAGTTTATTAAGGCAGGGATCACCGAGCAGCGCTGTCCCTGCCTATAGACAAGGGCGCCCTCTGCTCACGAGCCCGCGCCAGCGCAGGGAAGGATATCAGACTTCAGGCTGTCCTGGCAGAGCACCGAGGAGGAGAAGCTCAGGAACTGCGTGGAGGTCTTGTTTCCATAGAAGACGTACATGCGCCCTGGAGGAGAGGGAAGACTCCAATGAAGGAACCAAGCCAAGAGCACAGCAGACCGCAGGGCCTCTTACAGGCACCAGCAGGGCTGGGGCACAGCAGCGCCAAGGCAGAACGTTTGGCATCGAGGTGCTTTCTGCAAAGAACCATCTTTTTTTAGTCTAGATTGATCTTTCCAACTAAAGCTCCACGTGCCAAGGAGAGGGAGCTCCCTGCGAGGAGACCAGCACGACCCTGCTGGTCTCCTCGCAGAGTCACGCCCCAGCCACGAGGCCCGGCTCACCCAGGTTCTGCCGGAATTCGGACTTCAGCCCGATCTGCAGCAGCTGGTTTTCGAACAGAACCCCGTTGTTCTTGCACACGAACCTGCGGAGAGAGACGGGGAAGGCCTCAGAGAAGGAGGGGGTTCCCGCATGCCGCTGGACGAGACGGGGACGAGCGGGCCCACACAAACCTGGGGAGAACATGCAAACTCCACCCAGACAGGCTCCTCAGGCTGGGACCCAGGCTTAGGCACTGCGAGGCTACAGGAACCTACATGCCACCCTGCTCAGCCTGGACCACCCGCCTGCTGGGAACCACCCTGTCTCCCCCCCCACCTGCCCCTCCCTCCCCCCGTCTCACCTAGAGAAGTTCTCGTCGGCGGGGGGCATCATGGGCAGGCTGGTGCTGTTCTCGGAGAAGACGTCCACCAGCAGGCTGCCCCCTGCGGCGGGCGGGGGTGCGGAGTTGAGAGTGGGGGCGCTGCCAAGCCCCAGCAGGTCAGCGGAGGGGGAGGAGTTGGACTGCAGCGGAGGGAGAGGAGACCGTGTTACAGTCAGGCCCACACCTCCACACTGGGGCTGCCCCTCGGTCCTTTCCTCCACAGGGAAACGGTGAAGCTGCAGCAATCCATGCTTTAGAATACTCCATCCTACAAATACTTCCTATAATTGTTCTCTCCCCTGTGCCCAGAAGAACTCTTGACACACAGGCCAGTGTACATGCAGCAGTGCTCAGTACTAGCTCTGGACAAGCACCTTGACCGGCAGAGCAACACAGGAACTCGCCACACTTCAGGCTTCAGAGTGTTTAAGGAAGAGAGTTCCCAAAAGATTCTGTGACCAACTGCTCGTCTGCTTTTCGTCCTGAGCAGCAGGGTGAACTTGGCCACAGTCTTAGTTCAACAGCTCAAGCTCTTCTCAACATGCACCCCATGCTTGAACATACACGTACGTCATCAGATCCAGCAACAGCTGTGCAGTACTGCACTCAGTAGAGATGTGCAACCCAGGTAAGTTAATCTCAGGCGAGCAGCATTAGGTGTCCCATTCGCCCAAACCCTGTGACTGAGACAACCCTTTCACTAGAGGCGTCTGGAAAAAGGTCACAATTATTCCTACACCCCAGTTAAGAATGCTCCTAGAATTCAATTTGTTCGGGACGCTAAAACAAGAATCTGATTATAAATCGATGAACTTGTGTCTGCTGCTGGCACAGGTCCTGCGGGAATTCTGGGACAAACGGGCAAGGAGACAGCGCATGCGTCCCGGGAGGAGCACAGCACAGCACACAGGCGCAGGGGACCTGGAAGAGGGGCGCTCCGGGGCCGCCGGGGGGCAGAGGGCCACGAGGAGGCAGCAGCGGGGCGCTGGCAGGGGGGCGCGGCCGGCGGGCGGAGGGCAGTGACTGCGCCCGGTGGCCGCTGGGTAAGGAGGGGGGGGAGCTCTGCCAGCCGGAGGAGAACGAGAGGAGAGACAGCGGTGAGACAAGCAGCACCGGGGATCTCGGGGAACAGGAGACCCAGCAGCGCCCCCCGCTGGCGGCCCCAGCCACCGCCGTCATCAGGCGCGGCCGGGTCCTGCCCGAGGGGTCTCTGGGGGCGGCTCTCCAGCGCCCCCGAGAGCGGCTGTACCTTGGAATTGGTGCTGACGTGCACCGGCTCGGCGCCCCCGTTGACGTCGGCGTTCCGTTCCTTCCGGCCGTCCTCGATGTCCGGGAGCATCCCCGGGCCCTTCTTCCGCTTCAGCTTGGCCAGGATGGAGGACTCCCTCTCGGGGAAGGGGGGCATCTCCTCCAGCACCGTGGCCTGGGGCGCACACACGCAGACGGGGAGAGAGTCACCCGTCTGTCCTTGAACAGACCAGCATCGCTCTGTGCCTCCTCTTCTCCCAGTCCGGACTGGCGCTGCACCAGTATCCAAGTCAAGTCCCTCACCTTTGACCAGTCTCATCTACTTCTCTCTGCTCTGCCCTGATCAGCATCGATAACCCCCCACCACCATCCCAGCACCTCTACTCTTCCCCAGTCTGTCCTGCCCCTGCCCCCTGGGTCACACAGGTGTCCCACCCCCCCCTCCCGGTCACACAGGTGTCCCACCCCCCTGCCCCCTGTGTACCAGTATGTCGGTGCTGGCGATGCAGCTCAGCCGCAGGTACTCCACGGCCCTCTGCTGCAGCTCCACGTCGGCGTTCTTCAGCTGGCTGTCGCTGCGCAGGACGTCCTGGATGGTGCCCTTGATCTCGGGGAACAGGTTGACGAACTTGATGTAGGTGGAGAGCAGCAGGGCGCGCGTGGGCACGCTGCACAGGTGGAACTTGGAGTGCAGCAGGTTGAACTGGACCAGGGGGCTGCAGGGGTGGAGCAGGAACACTGTGCTGAGAGCCACGTTACTAGCCAACACTGAAGCACCTCCCCCATCCCTTAGAGAGTCCTCAAACCGCCTGGGTTAGGACACTCCGAGCACTGGCAATAAGCCACAGCGCACCAGGAGCGTCTCCGTGAACACCGAGCACCGAGCGGTACCGGCTGAGCTCCGGAGCCCGACAAGCCCACCGAGCACCGACAAGCCCACCGAGCACCGAGCGGGACCGGCTGAGCTCCGGGGCCCGACAAGCCCACCCAGCGGGACCGGCTGCCTGCACCAGGCTCTGTTCTCCACGGCCTCTTACCTCGATCTGGGATCCCCAGCAATCAGGTTCCCGAACTCGCCCAGGATGTACCCCCCGACCTTCACCAGGTTCTCGTGGCACGCAGGCGCCTGAAGAGCCTGTTGGGGAAGGAGACGTGACCCAGACAGGTGAGCCGCCATTCAGAACCGGACAGCGGGGCCGGCGGGCTTCGATCGATGCGAGGGACACGCAGAGCCGCCCGTACATGAGGGCGTGCTCCCACGAAAACCAGCGCTCGGAACTGCAGAGGAACGACCTATGGATTTGACGTGGGAAACAAAGTTCTGGAATTCGGCTGGAGAAGGGATGGGGTCTGGCGTGTGGTCTCACACGTGAAAGCTGTAGATTTTTAAAGTGACGCAGGAAACAACAACCCGAGTCACAGCCAGAGACGGCGTGCCTATATACATATATATAAGAAGCAGTTCTGGGGTCTGAAACTCCTGTCCCCACAGAGGAGCTGTTCTCCTGCCAAAGGGAGACACATCAGCGCCCAGCGGGGCCAGCAGGGGACTGATAACAGAATCGATACAGGGACACCAGGAACCTGCCGGCCCAGGGAGACCGGTGAGAGACAGCAGGCTCAGGGCACCCGACAGGGAACCGGAGCGGATCTGAAGACGCGCACGCAACAGCTCTGATGAAGTCATAGCATTTCCAAAAAATAATTTGATCAAAAACAACTTAATCTGAACTGGAAATTAACATGGTTTGGGTAGAGCAAAAAATAAATACAAATCCTCAACATAAAAGAACGAAAAGCTTTAAAGATGGCTATTACATTCTAGCTAGTCTCTTGTAAGAACACTCCTCATTTCCCTCTCGATTGTCCTCTAGATCAGGGGTGTTCAACCTTTTTGACATGCCCCCCCGTTTGTCTAGGTTTGAACTTGCACCCCCCCCACTGAGAAAACAATGCAAACACCCTCGACACACTCACTCACACAATATATTTGACGTTATGTATACATACATGCATTTCAGCACCTTGTGTATTCTTCTTATTTATTGTTGTATTCTTCTTATTTATTGTTCATCCTGTAAAGCGCTTTGAGAAACCACCTTTAAAGGCGCTATATAAAATTAAGTTTATTATTATATACTTCATTAATCTGCTCTAACAGTTTCACGTTCTCCGCGATCGTTAACTCCAGCAGTAAGCCACCAGTCCAGTTTTAAGCTTGTAATGGCGGTATAATGCGAAGTCTCAATTGTGCTGTAGCCTTCGCCAGCGAGAACAGACGGCAGGTAGACATCAGGGACATGAGCCAGATTGAACACCCCCCCCCTCTAGTGGACGAATAATGAATTACTATTAACGTTTGAAACAGCAGGTTCGCTGCAGCTGTTTCATTCTTTTTCATTTTACCTGCGTGTTTGACCCTCAATGTCTTGTAATCTCGCGCCCCCCTTGACCACGAACGGCCCTGCGTGACTCTGGGGGCCCCCTCACCTCGAAGACGGTCTTGGCGGCGTAGCCCTGCACGTCGTCGCGGTTGATGACGATCTGGATGACGCGGTACCACACCTCCTCGCTCACGTAGTCGCCGGCGATGCGGATGAGGTTGAGGATGGTGTCCACGTACCAGG